TATGAAAGCTGTGTCCGGTTTACCCATATTTAGAGAGTATGACAGCTGTGTCCGGTTTATCCACATTTAGAGTATTTGAAAGCTGTGTCTGCTTAAAGAAGCCTGGATGCTGATCGTTGCTAGAAAATCGCAGGAGTCCCTCAGAAAGAACTGCATCAAGGGAAACCTTCAAGAGGGTGGAGTGCCGGGTTTTGTTTTTTTATCCTTCCTTCCGTCATTACTTTCCTACCAGACTTTCCCCGCCCTACCCTACTCCAAGTCCCTCCCCTTCCCCCTCCCCTCCTCTCTAGGTCCACTGGAAAGTGTCTTACTCATATTGCTCCTTTTCTTTTCCAATTTGGAAAGAGAAGAGTTCCAAACAGAATTTAAACACTAATTAGAGAGTTATTGGGCCTATGAGTTTGTGTACATAAATATAGAACTGATACGTCATCCAATTAAAGGTATCATTGCCTGGAGAGAAGGAAGCTCTTCCAGAGGACCTGGGTTCAAGTCTCAGCACCCACATGGCAACTCATAACCGTCTGTAACTCCAGTTCCAGAGAATCTGACACCCTCACACAGACAGACGTGCAGGCAAAACACCAATGCACATAAATAAATTATAAAAATACTTAAAGACATCTACTTTTTTGTCTCCCATATTTAGACATGAGAATGTAATGAATGTTGAAGAATGGGATGTTGATGAAGAGAAAGATCTATCCAGTAAACATTAGCGAGAAGAAGCGTTTTGTTTCAAAGAGAAGATGCAGGTTGCAGATTAGCATCAGATATGAAGTGAAAGGATCAGCAGCATGAATACTCTACAAATAAATATAATAGCGTGTATATCTTCAAATCATTTAGCCGAAAGGCCTGTGTAGTGGTTATTCTAACACGTTGGTCAGAAGTAATGGATTCTTTGTTCCTGAACCATCTCAAGTCCTACTCAGGGTGAAAATTGCTCACACTGGGCTTTTCTGATTGTTTGCTTGTTTGTTTGGGTGCCAGACTAGCGTGGAACTGCTGTAGCTGAGGATGACCTTGAACTCTTGGCCCTTCTGCCTCGGCCTCTCCATTCTAGAATGCTAGGATTAAAGACCTGGTACCCCGGTATGTGGTGTTAGGGGTTGGAATCCAGAGTGTCACCCACGCTAGGCAAGCCTTGCCAGCCCTTCACATTCCTTTAGAGTTGGGCTTCTGTGGGGGATGGCTAGGCTAAGCACAGCATCTCCAGGGAGCAGCACTAAGTAGAAGCCGTACAGAGAGTGAGGAAAGCTTGTCAAGGAGGTAGAGACTGTAGATGGAACTTGACTATGTGGTCAAACAATCATGACATTTAAAAGGATATGTAAATATTTAGAGCCATAGCGATGTCCTGAAATCTTTGTAACAAAACACTCCCTCCACCCTCAAACAGTACCACAAGCAGCACAGCCAGGCACGTATCCATCGCATCAAAGTGCTATTTTAATAAAATGGGGAAACGAGAAAAATGCGTGATCTTACAAAGAAACTCTGAAATATGTATGCTCCAACGTAAATGGCGTTAAACTACTGCTGAGAACAGAGAGGTTCGGCCTCCTGACTTAGTTTAGTCACAAGCAGACGCTTCAGTATCTTCGGGGAAATTTTTGAGACTCTCCATCTTCTCAAATTTTTTGAAGGGGGAGATAGTTCAGAAATGAGTTAGTACAAGGCTGGCTGCCGTTCAGCTCCTGCAGAAACAGGCTGCGTACCTGACTCGTTTACGAAGGGCATTTCTGCCTGTCAAAGGAATGCCTACCAGCCATCCAAACCCACTAACCGCTGCTTGACGATGGGAAAATAACACACGGAGATCCTCTACCGACAACTTTAGATCTCAAATCACGGCATATTTGCATTGGCAATGGTGTGTTCACGTGCGTGGTGGAGAGAAATACATAGGAAAAGACAAGTGCACACTTTTATAGAACAAATAGAAAATGTTAGTACACTTCCAAGACTTTCTATGTCGTTGTATGTGAAGAAAAATACATATAAAACTTTTGTTTTTTTGTTTTTTCGAGACAGGGTTTCTCTGTAGCTTTGGTGCCTGTCCCGGAACTAGCTCTTGTAGACCAGGCTGGCCTCGAACTCACAGAGATCCGCCTGCCTCTGCCTCCCGAGTGCTGGGAGTAAAGGCGTGCGCCACCACCACCCGGCACATATAAAACTTAAAAGCTTAACTCAGTGGTGAATCTGCACGGAAGTATTGGCTGCAGGTATATTTCTGCTATTTCTGCCGTGAAATGCAGTCCTGAAGTTGGATTCCCAAAGTTCTTCTCTGACAGGAAGAATGGCCCAGTGGTGATACAGTACCTTAGCTCAGTTGTACAAAAACTTCCAGTCACACAGTACTGTAAAAAGCCTCAGTTGCTGTGCAAGCGTGGACCTTCCAAGGCCCTTCTGACACCATTCCCTGACTCGGGATTGTTTGTCCTAAGAGCATCTGCTGTCTCGTCCTTGAACGTCCCTTCGCCCACCGCTGTTCTGCCCACTCACCCAGCTGGTGCCACCTTCCTGAAGTCTCTCCTTATTGACTTGGCATTCGACTAACCGGGGTGTATCGCGTTCCCTGTCACTTTGGAGAGCCCAGGTGTCTGCTCTGATTCATTTATCAGCGTGTTTCATAAGAACGCCTCGCCTCCGCGGCCAATCCTGGGGTCCCCTGCTGGGTAAGTCTCTTTATCCACTCACAATGGAATGTTACAGTCAATGTTCTGGCCCACAGCCCAGGGTGGAAAGGTTTCAGCTACCTGAAGAGACCGAATCTGCAAACTTCTGAGGCGATACAACCAGATACTAGCATCCTTACTCTTAGTGCCCTGACTAACATCAAGGACATAAAGGAGCAGGTGTGCATTTATTATATGATTTAAAAAAAAACCCACAGTCAATAATATCTCCTTCCCTTTAAGTCAAGAGAGGCCCTTTAAGTGAACTTTTATTGTGAAGAGTAGAAAGAAAACTCAGGTTTTCACGGAGAAGCCAAGGGAGGATCAGATGCCTCCAGTACTTTTCAATTGGCCATGGGAGAGGAAAACAGGTTGTTTTCCTGATCCCAAGCTGCATGTTGGTTCTTGTTAGATGCATTAGTAACCCACACGGGTGCCCATTTATCTTGATCTCTGGCATTTTTACAGCTGTTCTTTATCCATGAAATACAGTCCGTGGTGAGTTTTGTTTAACCCCTTCCAGAGTATTTCCAGTGCGGGCTGGAGAGATGGTTCAGCAATGAGGAACACTTGGTGCTCTTGCGGAGGACCTGGGCTACATTCCCAGCACCAACATGGTTGCTTACACTCATCTCTAACTCCAGCTCCAGGGGATACCCTCTTCTGACCTCCCCAGGCCCTGCACACATAGGGTGCTGTTACATACATGCAGACAAAATATTCATACACATAAAATAAAATAAACAAATCTTTCCCCCAAACATTAGGTGTTACAATTTCATTAGAATACCATTTTTTTTCTTAATGAAATAGGATTTAGCTATCAATGTTTTCTACCACTATGCTGAGTGTGCACACAATTTCAATAGCGTTATGCCCTATGGTAGATCCCCACAGAGCTTAGAAAGAAGTGAGTCCATGCACCTCCTCCCTCCTCTTTTTAAAAATAAAAACAAATATGAACCAGGACAGTAAGCTCAGAAGGAGGAGCCAGAGAGGCAGACATCTCTGAGAAGCCCATGGAGAGGCAAGCTCAAGGAAGGATGATTGAGTCCGAGTTCCACGGGCGGCCACAGAAAGTCCACAATGACCTTGATGACATCTTTGGATGGAATAGTAATAAGAAGCACAGCTGTGCAGAGGGCCGGGGTGCTGAGGACAGCAGCGAAAACACGGGTGCACAACATTTTCCCGAGAAGTTGGACTGAAATCAAGGCAACTTGAATATACCCGGAGGCTAAGGATGAAAGTTGCTGGCTGCATTTATAGTATAAGAGACCACGCCCAAGCAGGCTGGTATCTTAAAGGCTATTGGCTGAAGGAGGGAGAGGAGCTCCCCCAGCAGACTGAGTTTCTTTACACAGTTCAGGATCACCCGCATAGAGAATGGTATCACCCACAGTGGGGTGAGATCTCTTATGTCAATTAAAAATCAAGACAATCCCTTGTAGACATCCCCACTGATCAGTGTGACATAGGAACTTCCTCAACTGTGATATTCTTTCAAGACAGTTCAAGGGAATATCAAGTGAAAGCTAACCAGGACAGTTGGTGAGCAGTTTAGGCTCTGGTTAGCCATAATGGAGTTTGGCAAAGTCCTGAAGTCTTTCCCTTCAGAGGAGTCCCATGCTTTACAGAGTGTTGGGGACCCTTCCCCAACCTCCTTGGTTATGGATGACCCTGGGTAGTGCAGCAGAAATCAGGACACAGGGGATGCAGAGTAGGAGATACAACTGCATACTTTATTGTAAAGCCAGTGTCCTTTTTATAATACTCAAATCACGATTCAAACTAGGTTCCCATAATACATGAAAATAGTTTCATAGACTAGTCACTTGGTTGTGACTAATTTCGAGGGCTTCGTGCCCTAGCTAATCTAAACAAAAAGCTTGGTGTTATGGGGATAACTCTTGTTGTAATATAATATGTAAAAACACCTCATCAGAAGACAAACCACAACCTAATTAGAGCCTTTGAACTACACAGTGCACATCTGTGTTCTCAAGGACTGACCATTGGCAAGGCACTCTACTGATGGGAGAGGGTTGCCTCCTCCCGACTTGGTTTGCCAAGCCTGTCAGCAAGAATGCTTCCTCCAGTCTTCCTTGCACAGAGTTTCTGTGCCATTCAAAACCAGCCCTCTACAGCAGAGCATCTGCCTTAATCTGATGTGGGAATGATTTCTTACTAATAAAGAAACTGCGTAGGCCCATTTGATAGGCCAACCCTTAGGTAGGCGGAGAAAACAGAACAGGATGCTGGGAGAAAGAAGCTGAATCAGAGAGTCGCCATGATTCTCCCATTCCAGACAGACGCAGGTTAAGATCTTCTCTGGTAAGCCACCTCGTGGGCTACACAGATTATTAGAAATGGGTTAGATTAATATGTAAGAGCTAGCCAGTAAGAGGCTACAGATAACGGGCCAGGCAGTGTTTAAAAGAATACAGTTTCCGTGTAATTATTTCGGGCATAAGCTAGCCATGCGGGCGGCCGGGTGCCGAGGACGCAGCCCCGCCGCTCCTATCTCTACATTAATCCACATGCATTGCTCAATAGATGTCAAGAAGAAGCTCAGACAGTGAGTGTTCGGATCAAATGCACTGATAGACTTCACAGCGGTGCCCAGAGTCAGAGATCTGAGAGCTACACACAGGAAATAGTGGAGATAGCGAGGAAGAGCGACAATTTCCCGTGAAGGAAAAGAATCAGATTATATATACAGCAGGAGAGACAGCAATCTTTTTTGAAACAAACTGCACCCTCTTTCCCTGTCATTGACCTGGCAGCAGTTCACTGACAGGGCACTGCTGATTGAAGGCTGGTGAAACAGCATGGGGCCTCCCACGTGATGTGGACATGCACCAGGCTGCAATGCTGCAGAGTCCTCCCATGTGATATGGACATGCACCAGGCTGCACACGCTGCAGAGTCCTCCCATGTGATGTGGCATGTGCCAGGCTGCAATGCTGCAGAGTCCCCCTACATGATGTGGACATGCGCCAGGCTGCACACGCTGCAGAGTCCTCCCACGTGATGTGGACATGCAATGCTGCAGAGTCCCCTAGGGACAAGGGGACCTGAGTCCAATCAGAGAGGATTTTCCACACACCGAAGTCTGCTTTATCTTTCAGTGTCCCAGGGTCGGAGCTCTCCTGGACACACTGATGCCTGTGAAGAAGGAAACCAGCCATCTGAAGTGAGAAGATGCTGTTTGCCCAAATAGGGAATTTAGGGCTTTTTTCGGAGGAAGTCACATCTATTTTGAGAAATCATCACTACATTACTATTTTATGGAAAACTACTCTGAGCCAAATTTGGAATTAAGGTTTTGAGGGGTGAATTGTAAAGCAGTGAAAACCTGCTTTCATTGAGGATGGAAACCCGTGTCTATAGACTGTACCTTCCGGGGAGGCTGGCTCTTCTCCAAAGGCGGGGTTAAACTTCAGCCTGTCTGAAAATTAGCATTCCATGGTGATTTGGTGTTGGGTCCCGTGAGTCCTCATAAAGGGGCAGCTTGGATGGCTGCAACTTTTGCAGGAAAAATTTGGAAGGAGGAGAGACTGTAAAACAACGATTCTCAACCTGTGGGTCTTGACAAACCTCTATCTCCAAGAAATATTTACATTTTAATTCGTAACAGTAGCAAAATCACAGTTACAAAGTAGCAATGAAATAATGTTATGGTTGGGGGTGACCACAACACAAAGAGCTGTATTAAACGGTTGCAGTGTTAGGAAGGTTGAGAACCACTGCTCTAAAGGCCAGCAGACTGGGTTTTTCTCTGACTAGATATTCCTGCTATTGTCCTAAAGTAAATAATTGAGTTCTGGAAATAAATTCATCAAACCTCAGTTGATGTGGGTGTCAGTCTGCCATCCGTCTGTCTGTGTGCCCATCCGTGTGTGTGTACGCAGAGAGGTTAGAGGTCAAGTTTGGGTGTCTTCCTTCATTTCTCTGCCTCGATTCTTGAGATGGGTCTGTCGGGGATCCTTGTGCACTGACGTGGGTACAAAGGCTAGCCAGGAATCTGCAGGTCTCCCTACCCCACCATGCTGGGGGTTATAGACCTTCACTGCCGTGCTCAGCTTTTATGTGGATGTCGGTTATCCAAACTCAAGTCCAGCAAGAGAATGCCAACGTAAATGCACAGCAAGCGTTTTACTAACTGGGCCATTGGGTTATTAATGTCATTTTTTTTATTATTTTAAAGAGCAAACCATTCCATTCGGTGCCTCAGTAGTTATCAAAGTCCTACAGTACCAAGCACTGGTTCCTTAATTCAGAATGTGTTAGTGGCAAACAGAAAGGCCCCCGATCTTCTAAGCTCATATTTCATCTCACGATGTTATAGTACTGAGAAAATTCTTCCTTGGGTAGGAAATAGGACAAGGAGAGAGGTTCTTCTATTTTTTTTTAAAAGATTTATTTATTTATTTATTAAGTATACAGTGGTCTGCCTGGCTTGTAGGCCAGAAGAGGGCACCAGATCTCATTACAGGTGGTTGTGAACCACCATGAGGTTGCTGGGAATTGAACTCAGGACCTTTGGAAGGGCAGGCAGTGCTCTTAACCGCTGAGCCATCTCTCCAGAGCCCGAGGTTCTTCTGTCTTGACTACGATATGGCATAGCATGGATAGTAAAAACCCAGAGACAGATATTGGGACTCAACCTGAAGATCAGAAAAGCAAAGCAGCCAAGTCACTAGAGAGTTCTTACCTCGATGAAATCTCCAGCCTGAAAGAGAGTGAGTTCCTGTCTCATCCCACCTTATATTCCTCTCTAGGTCTGGGATTAAAGGCGAGCACCGCCAGCACCTGGGACTTTATGGCTAGCTAGTGTGGCTGCTGGTACGTCTGGTATAAGTTCATGAAATATCAGACAAGATCCCTGTGTTACTCACTAAACAACCAGAGAGGCCTGCTAAAGACTGGAGCATGAAGTTAGGAGCCAGGGGTGGAATCTAAGGAAGGGTCCGGGACCTCCATATTGAAGTGTTTCAAGATGAAGTTTTAGAGGTGACAGTGGTAACATTCTACCCTAAGAAGCGCATAGCAGCCCTCAGCAGTGCGTGGTCGTCACATGGGAGATGGGGCAGGCAGAGAGGCAGCTCAGGAGGAAAGAATTCCTATCTGGGAATCATCAAGGGTTCTTAGGAAACAGCTTGGTAAAAGCTAGGACCAAAGAGAGGCTTGGGACAACTATTGCAAAACAAAAAGGACCAAGCGTGACCAGGCTGGAAAAAGCTGGAACTTCCAGGTTGTTCTGCCTGAGTGATTGAAAGAACACCTCAGGCAATGTTTGTGCGTCAGTTCTGAGGAAGGGCAGTGAGACTCGTAAGATAGAGACAAAGTTTCTAACAAGGCCTCCTGCTCAAGAGCTGAACAAGCTGAGAATCCCACTTTGATCCACAGTACAGGTGAGGGAAAAGAGAGCAGAGGCAATGTACCTGTACTTCATGACACTTGGGATGCTGAGGCAAGGCGATCCCTGGGGTCTTATTTGCTAACGGAGCTGAATTGGTGAAGTCCGGGTTCAATGGGACCCAGGCTCAAACAATCAATGTAGAAAAGAGATTGGGAAAGACAATAGTGTTGAACTCTGGCTTACATATGAGCACATATGAATACACACATGAACACACACACACGCACATGCACACACGCGTGCTCTTTCTCTCTCTCTCTCTCTCTCTCACACACACACACACACACACACACACAGAGAGAGAGAGAGAGAGAGAGAGAGAGAGAGAGAGAGAGAGAGATTTCTGTGTCTAGGCTGGGTATGGAACTCAGTGGTGCAAATGGTTTTCTTAAAATGCACAAATTCCTGGATTCTGTCTCCGAATTCACACACACACACACACACACTTCAGTGTCTAATTGCACTTATACACTCTTATTACTAATAGACATGCATCAACTACTGTTTCTATTAATTATCTCTATTTTGTAATGTTACAGTGAAATTTCCCAACATCTCTGATCACTTCGAGTGTAAGAAGGGGACAGACTATCTCACAGAAATAGTTGGTGAGCTCAATTTCCCTGAGCAAATCATGAGCTTCAAATAAATGTCCAGGTATGATAAGGTGAGTCCACAGTCTCCATCCCTCACCTGTTACCCCTCATCTGTTCCTTCCCCCTTCCCACATAAAGCTTTCAGGAAAACTAATGTGTCGTTGCGGAAACAATTGGGAGAGGACAAGGCCAGGATCATAGGGACGTTAGCTAAGATTAAGAATCCTCTGTTTATCTCTTTGGAATCTGTTGTTCCCTCCCTGTGCGGAGACCGCGCTGGAGGCTGTGTGGGTCAGCAAGCCCTGTCAATCTGCTCTTGGGCGCACAACCATAGAAAGGCTTAGCAGGTGATTTGTAACGCTCTAGTTTCACGTACAATGACGTCCAGATTCCGGCGGCAGAACTGGACCTCTGTTACCACCGCTGTTTCTCTCAACTAAACCCTTGCGTCTGGGTGTCAGTCTCTCAACAGATTTGCATGCGATTCCAAAATTAGATCAGCTGAGCACTAAGAACCCCAGTGCACACTAGTAAGCATCAGGGAAACCAGACCAAAGTCTGCAAACGAGCCTCTACCCCGCAAGCCAGTTCCCCACTGTTGATCGAGGTCTGAAAAGGAGGAAGCAATGAAGAGGAACCACAGTCCTTCTTCCTCCCTGCGGCTGATTGCACAGAACGAGTGGGATACCACAAAGACGTGGGGTCTCTTTTCCCACCCCAAAGATACGTAGGCTGCTTTTGTAATTTGCTTGCCCTGGGAAGGTGAAAGAGGTGTCAGCTGTGAGCCTTGCGGGGACCACGCAGAGGCTTCTCAGCACGGCCCCATCGCCGAGAGAGACCCCGTGGAGCAGAAAGTTATACAGGTTATAACCTACCAGCCCCGGCTGCTCTGCCAGCTGCCCACAGAGGCGTGAATAAGCGCAAGCGCAAAGCTGTGGAGCCCAGTCACGGCCGGAACCGCCAAGCTAAGCCCAGGCTGAACTGCTGAACTATGGTTTGCTTTAGATCACCAGGTTTTGGAGTAGTTTATTAAACAGCAGCAGCTAAGCCACAGTTCCGCGCATCTCCGTGAGTCACACAGCCCAGAAAGTGGCCTAAAGAAAGTACTTTCCTCAAAGAAAGTTAAAGTTTTATAGACTCGCTGAAGTCGGTGCTGCCGAAAGCGCCGATCCACAAGGGGCGAGGGCTGATGGTGGAGTGCAAAGCTACGCATCCCGTCTTCCTCCAGAGGGTCTTCCTGCGGAGAAAGAGCATCGGCTGGAGCAGACAGAGTGCGCGCTGACACGGCTGGCTTATTATATTCTGGTGCAGGGTCCTAATGTTGATGCTAGCCGGCAGGAAGTAGTTCACAGGCCAGCTGCAGTTTATGGATAATGATGGAAAATGTATTTTCTGTGAAAGGCTCAATAGTAATAATTTTTATGCCTCGAGGGCCATATAGGCTATGTTAATTTTATTATATGTGGAAGCACCCATACCCTGGACGTTGTACACTGAACAAGCACGGCTGTGTTCCAATAAAGTTATTTTATTTTATTTTTTTATTATTTATTTTGGTTTTTTCGAGACAGGGTTTCTCTGTGGCTTTGGAGCCTATCCTAGAACTAGCTCTTGTAGACCAGGCTGGTCTCGAACTCACAGAGATCTGCCTGCCTCTGCATCCCGAGTGCTGGGATTAAAGGCGTGCGCCACCATCGCGCGGCCAATAAAGTTATTTTAAAGACAATCAAACTATTTTAAAGACAAGATGTATTCAGAGTGTGAACTTTATTATACTTACTTCATCTGCATCAGAGATCATGATCAGTGTTCTCTCTCTCTCTCTCTCTCTCTCTCTCTCTCTCTCTCTCTTTCTCTCTCTGATTCTCTATCCCGCTCCCTCTCTCTCTTTGTGGGTGTGGTTACAAAGTCATAAGAATAGGCAAGAACAAAAAGAAAACTAAAGGCAGCCCTCCTCACAAAAAGAGAAAACAAAGACTTAAAATTTAAGGCATTCTGACACGTAGCCAGAGGGGTTAGGTGGGAGATGCAACTGCTTGGAGCTTGGACAGTTTGCTTTCAATAAGGGAAACCCAGTGAGCACACTCAACCAGTCAAAACCCTTGGCCAAATCCTGGGAAAACACACCGAAAAGACGCTTCCATTGCCTGTGCTGACATTTCAAGGACACAGACTTCTTGGCAGTAAGGAGCCTGAGGTAGCTTGTACCTCATCTTTTTTTCTCTCCCATCCCTTCTTTCCTCTATTTCATTTTTCTCCCCACTGCCCTTGGTTTTCTTTCTCTCATCACAGAGGAGAGCGGCTCCAGGAACCACGGGAAGCCACCAGCATCGCATTGTCGCAGAGGTTCAGAAGAGCGGCTGTTAATAATTTATCGCAGACTCCCTTCTTCCCTCCCCGCGTGCTGGGAACACAATGGATGTCTGTGTCATTAGAACACGACACAGTGATCTGTCTTAGATTCACCCTGGGTTGGGCGGGGTGCGCCCTGGTGAGGAAATGCCAAGAAAGGGCACATAAAAGACACACCAGCCACCATCATTCAGCTCTCCAAAAACTTACCAGGCAGACTTACTGGGCACATTTCCAAATTCTCATTATTATTATTTTTTTCAGGTCTTAAAAGAAAAGCAAGATGATTAGATTCTTTGACAAATGACTCCCCCTCAGATTGCAAATGCTGGTATTAAAACCATTAAAGTAAAAACAAAATCTCAAGTGTTGTGCGCTCTGCATATTATATCCACTGATATGTATGTATGTACGTACATCTATATACATATACCGTGCAATCTGTTTAGAATCTCGATCTTTTTAAAGATGAAAGCATCCATTTTAAATGGAAATCTTAGTAGGGACAAGGATTTCAAGTGGCTTCTTTTATTATTTAATATTTAATATTCGCTTTGCGTTCTGATTAAGCCATTGAAACTCTCTGGCAGAAATTCCATGTGGGAAGAGATGACGCACCGGGACCAGCTCTGTTGTCAGCTCAAACTGGTCAGACACATTTCCTAGAGACAAGACATGGTGCCATGGTCACCAGGGGAGGACTAGGAGGAGGAGGGAATAAGTCCTAGGAAACGGCATGTCAGGTTGCCCTGCTGTGCAGCAGCAGATAGGAGTAAGAGCCGACTAAACCAGTGGGAGGAAGGGGAGATTGGGAATGAGGGAAGACAGAAGATGCTGTCTGCAGCTGTAGAAGGGAGGCTATAAAAGAGCTGGTGGTAAAGTCTGTCTGCTTATCAAGTTTTCCTGGGGATAATCTCAGCTAAGAGCTAAACATCGCCTCCGCTGGTGCTGGCGCTGGCGCAGGCGCCCCGGCAGCATCCTGCTTACGCCAGGAGGCAGAGGAGGCATCACGCAGGCTGGTGAATACCCCTTAGAACAAATCCCTCGGCTATTCTTTGTCTGCCCAGAGCAGCACCCCGCCTTGTCCCCTCTTTCCTTCTTCTTGCTCACGGACTGAGAACTTGGAGCATCTTGTAAGAGTGACTCCAATTCCTCTCTCAAAAGGGCGCTGAAACACACAAGGGTTTCAACATCAGGGCTAACCTTGTTGTTCACTGCTTCTCTGGTGGTCTCAAAGGATGTCCTTCAAATCTCCTGATGTTTCTCCATCCTCGTTAATATGAAATTCTCAGTTTAGGTCAGAGTCCAGAACTCATTTCAGTGACATCTCCTGTACTGACTGTCATAAACATTTCCTTTAAATCACCCCGATGAAATTCATTCCCTTGGACAGAAAGATGGGGAATACAAAGCTTAGGCATAAATATGAAATAAAATATTTCATATAAAGAAGGATGGGTTTTTATCACTACACCATTTTTATTAATTTTTTCATGTATATTACACACCAACCAGTTTCCCCCCTCTTTCATTCCCTCCCCCTACCTCCCACATCACCCCCCACCCATCCAATCCTCCTCTAATCAGAAAAGGGCAGGCCTCCCGCGGGAGTAAACAAAGCATGGTTCCTCCTCCTGCATCAGGTCTGGACCAGGCATTCCATCATGGGAAATAGGCTCTAAAAAGCCAGCTCGTGCGCCAGGGACAGGTCCTGATCCCGCTGCTAGGAACCCCACAAACAGACAAACCTACACAACTGTCATCTACATGCAGAGGGCCTAGATAGGTCCCGTGCAGACTCCCTAACTGTCGGTCCAGAGTCCATGAGCTCCCATTAGGTCAGGTCAGCTGTCTCTGTGGGTTTCCCATCAGGATCTTGACATCCCTGGCTTCTTGACACCCTCCTCCTTCTAGGCAACTGGACTCCCAGAGCTGGCCTGGTGCTTGGCTGTGGAACTCTGCATCTGGTTCCATCAGTTACTGGAAGAGGGCTCTCGGTCGACAATTAGGGGTCATCCTTGCAGATTCCTGGGAGTTTTCCTGGTACCCAAAATGGCCCCCTCTATCTAGATATCTCTCTCATTTCTCTCCCCTTCCGTCCTTCCCCCACCCTGACCAACCCAATCCCTCATGTTTCCACCCTCCCAAAACGCCACCCCCACTTTACCCAGAAGATCTCATCGATTTCTCCTTTCCAGGGAAAACAATTTTTTTTGTTTGTCTTTCTCATGATTTCCTTGAGGAAAATTTTCATTTACTCTTTAGGATCTCTATCATCTTCATAAGGATATTTCTAAGGTTGTTTTCTTGTGTTTTTGGCTGTCTTAGAATGTTCAGGTCTTGCAGTTGTAGGATCACCAAGTTCTGGGAGTGCCATATTGCTCTTTTGGTTGTTAAATGTATTCTTACACCGGCATCTATTCGTCTGTTCTTCCAACGGGTGTGGTTTGCACCTGTGCCTATGTAGTCTGCTTGTGGGCTGGTGGGGGCCGCACCAGAGCAGCATTCCACCAGAGTTGGGGGCAGGGCCCAGCTGTCTCATTGGTGCCGAAATGGGAGGGGGGCATGGGATGTGCCCTTCAATTTAGGGGCTGGTCTTCCAGGCAATCCGGCTAGGAGGCCAGTCATTCACCTGGTTTTCCATCTGGTGTGGTTTATGTCCGTGCATGTGTAGTCTCCTGGGGTTGTAGGGGAGGACTGGTCATGGGGAGGATGTTCAGGTGTCTGGGTTGCGTGACAGAGTGGGTCTTGGAGGGATAGAGTTCAGTGGGTGTCGGGAGGGGGGTGCCGCCTGGAGACAGGTCTCTCACCTGTCTGTCCGCTGGTGGGGACTGCATCCCACTATGCCATCTTTATCCTTGATGTGTCTTATGACTATAAGTATTCAACAGAAATGTGTAGTCCTAGTCATCCATTCATGAATTCACTTTCTCAACAAATATCTGTTGAGCAACTTCGGGAGGAGGTAATCCGTTCAGTTTCTGATAGTACAGAAATATGGCACCATCCTTTTCCTGGAGGATTCTCTATATCATTTAGATCTAGAACATCTCCTAAAATTCCATGCAAGAAAGGCTTGGCCCACAGCCTGTGTGTGGACCAAGTGGAGCCTATAAGAGGTAGGGCATACTCTTAGGATCAAGTCAGGTCATTTGAAGGGTGCCCTTGGAGGAAATATTGAGATCGGATCCTAGCCTGTCTTTCTCTTTGCTTCCCAGCTGTTGTGAAGTAAATATGTCCTTTCTGCCTCAAGCTCCAGCTATGGTGTACAATGCTACTTCTAGCCCAGAGCAACAGGCCCAAGTGATCATGAACTGAAACCTCTAAAATGGTAAGCCTAAAGAAACATTTTCTGGTTTAAAGAAGATTATCTTGGGCATTTTGACACCGCGACAGAGCGCTGACCAAAGTAGGTGGTCAACATTCAGTAGAAGAGCCAGATAAACGTAAGTTGCAATGTAGACCCAGAGTGGAAAGAGCCAAAGATTTCTGATCTTCACACACACACACACACACACACACACACACACACACACACACTGCTTCCCATAGGAAGAGATTTTGAATCGATGGTTAACAAATAGCGGCACTCACCATGAGAAAACGGACCGCACTGAAGTTTACCTTGAGTGTGAAACTCATGTAGGGAATTTGCCGATTTTGGCTTCAGGGGCCGGAGAGTTAAACACTGGAATGGCTAAGTATGAGAGATGCCAGGAGAGCGTGAAAGGCAGAGCCTGCTATGGAAGAAGGTGACCAGGGTGTTCGATGACAGATGTCTAGGCAGGAAGTAGCCCTAGGTGCTGCTCTGCAGTCCTGTATCAGTGCGGGTGTCACATCCCCAACGGTGCCCCACCCCCAGCCTTGGCAGGGACCTTCTAGATGTGGGTACTCTTTGCCTAATGGAGCAGTCGCCTCTTCTGGTCTGCACTCCTTGGAGTTTTAGAAAGAACCATTTCTGTTGACCTGGAAATTGCCTAACATTCTACCCATGAACGTTTTTTCCCCCAGTCAGATGTTAGGAGTTCCTTATTCTACTTGCGGCTCTCTCTCAATGAGCTGTTTTTAGCGAACGGCAGGCCTCACCCATTAACCTTAATTCCCTTCATGAGAAAGAAAGAAGAGGCACTTTTCTTCTTACATCTAGGACAAAGTCACCTAGACTTTTAGAAGCAGCTTATTTTGTCTCTCCTCCTCCATTAAACCATTCCCAAGGCTTCAGAAAAATTCTGC